GATATATAGATAGTATAGATATATAGATAGTATAGATAGATATATAGATAGTATAGATATATAGATAAAGCATTTCTATGGATATTAGCTCAATGATAACAGTGATAAGTGTAATCCGTCAATAAAGATAGCTATCCCAAGGTGGGTGCTTATTTCTTTCATCGCCGTATCCATAATCCCAAAATAAAAAGTTTTTATCACTAACTGGGAAAAAATTTAGGATACCATATCAGAAATTTCCGAAATATCTTTTTTTCGTTTTTTGCATAAAATTTCAATAAATTGAAATTGTACACCACAGTTGAAACGATCAAATTTTTCAATAATATTATGTGAAATTCATTGAAAAAAATCGAAAAGTTTGAAAAATAATTAGCATGAATGGAAAAGGATAATTAGTTATAGAAAATATGATGGACATAGTAAAGCTTAAGTTTTAATGGAAAATAATCGCAGAAGTATGGCAATTAGGAATTAACTTTTGTCCTTTTCATATGATGAGTTGATATCTTTGAGGATGAATATTATTAGAAATTTGAAGATTTGATTGACTGCTAACTATTTAACTGTTGGCTTGAAATTGCAGCAGTAATATTGATGAATATTTTGGAATGTACTGAGATAAACAAAGATCAAAATGTTCATAGGGAATTTTTTTTAGTTGGAGAGAAGAAATGTTAGAAGATTTGATGGAAAACAAAAAACAAAAAAGAAAACAATAAGATTATCGAGAGCAGAAATTACGAACAATTGACTTATCACTATGATAGCTGATAAATATGCTTGATTTTGTTCAAAAACAAAAATATGACAAAAAACGGAAAAGAAATTCGAAAGATAGAGAGGATGGGGAGGAAGGAAAAGGAATATTTAAAAAAGGGTAAAATAGAATTGAAATTCTAGCAGAGATGCCAATTGGTTTTATTGGAAATTAAAATTAAAATATCAAATAAGCAAAAGGAAGGAGGGAAATTAGGAAAAAAAGAAACAATTTTTGCTTGCATAAGTGAAAGATTACTCTTATTTTTCCGTTGCTTACAATTTTAGATTGCAACGTAACGAGCAAAATAATTGATAATGAAAAGTAGCGTAACGTGAACAAAAACATTCACTGTATTCTACGCTTCACATAAATAAATACAGTAATATTAAAATTACAACTGATTCAGTTCAATTCAATTACTGATATATTTTCAACAAAAATGACGTTTCTGAAATAGTTAAGCATTTTTTTTGGATATAAATGAATGGAGAAAGAGGAATTTTTTTTGGAAGGATTAAATAAATTTCAACAATTTGAATAATTAATTATTTTTTTACAAAGCTTCATTTGCAACCCAAACGCTAATCTTAATCTATAGCTTTAACAGTCTAATTTTTATGGGCAGAAAAATACTCAGAATTACAAAAGAATTACAAATTTTAAGTATTTCTCTGTCTATAAAATTCAATTTTTTTAAAATATTACGATAAGTAGTTTATTAAGGAGCTAATAGCTTTTTAGAATTTCGGGAAATAGAATTTGTAGCACATTCTGAAAGAACAAATAATGGACTGCTTGAAATAAAGAAATTGATAAGTAATTTTAAAATAGAAAATATTAAATTTGTACTTGTCATTCAATCAGTACGGCTGATATAATTATGCAAAAAAGAAAGGGAAAATAGCAATTTTCCTACATAACAAGTCCATTCACTTTTTGTAGTATTAAACCATTCCCACGTAGAATTTAAATTGCTCCGTTGATGACATCTTGCAAAATTTAAGTTCCATCACACATTTTGCATACAATTATTGTTATTGATTATAGGATGCTAGCAGTGAGAGGAAATTTTTAAATTTATTATCTTTACATCCAAAGATTACATCACATTTGATCGTAATAGATTGATCTACTGGATGAGGTGCACACACACACACACACACACACACACATACACACA